TTCACTTACTTGTCCTTTTCGGTGCGCAGATTCCTGGTGCTATCCTCACGGGCTATGATCCTCGCCATCTCGCGCTGCACGCTATGAATCTTGATGGCCGTCATCACAAACATCACCGTATTGGCCACGATGATGGCCATGATAGGTCCGAAGAAGTAGAACATCGCCGACCAGTTGGTCATGTCCAGCCAACAGAACTGCCCTCCGCCAATGCCCGGCTTCAGGTAGTAGGGCCACTCGGTATACTCCTGCGCCACCACCGTGAAGATGAGAAAGATTAGAGCCAGGCCCCATGAGTAGAGCGAGTAGAGCAGAAAGCGTTTCTTCTCCTGGAACCGATTGACCCCGCGCGTGCCACGGAAATTGTGCCACAGGTCGAAGCTGATCACGTTCAGCCAGAAGAAGGCGGACATGAAGAAGAAGTAGGTTGTGTAGCCAAACACCTTGCAGGACAATCCCAGCGGATCTATGCCCTCCACGAGTAGGAGGCAGCACAGCAGCGAGTAGCCGACGCTCAGGCCCACCAGATAGCAGACCAACGACTTTCCATGCTGATTACGAAGCTCGGGAATCAAGAGATATACGGCTATGGTCAGCAACATGAAGGGAATGGAGAAGAGCATAGCTGTGGGGAAAACAAAAAACAAGAATATGGTCGTTAGATAGGCTTCTTGATTTATCTGTATATACATATATATTGTGTACTTACCGAACCCATTTATGATCTTCACCGTCGAATTCTCAAGGAACATGTCGCAGTTGGCCGGGTTTATCGTGTAGTAGAGGTCGGTTTCGTTGATGCTGGTGGGCACCAAACAGAACTCGTTCTTGTAGATGTAGTGCTGGTCATCCTCGCGGAACAGCGTCCCATTCTCGTAGAGCTGAAAGGTGTCGTACGAGTTGATTTCCGGCAGCAGCGAGAACATCTCGGTGCAGGGCCTGAAGCTCTGCACCACGAACTGCTGGTAGATATTCACGGTCTGAACCGATCCGTTGTTGAGGGTCACATTGATCAGCGGCTCTGGCCACATTTGCTTCGTGTTCGTGTCCTTTTGGCACTCAGTGTCGTTGTAGATCTGGCCCCATGGGCAGCAGATGTTGATGCAGGGCTTCAGCTTGCAGATGCAGCCGCGCACATGCGGCGTCACATCAATGCGATCGACCAGGTCCTTGTAGATGTAGTCGAAGGTGCCCACGTAGTGGCTGGGTATTATCACGCCCTCGTAGTTGTAGCTGCCGTTCGGGAACGAGGGGTAGCCAGTCAGGTTGACGGTGTCAAAGAAGCTGCACTTGATGTGAATGCCATTTCGCTCATGGTAGTTCCACTCGTCGCCCATGGCGTAGACCCCAAACGGACTGCCCGGCAGCAGGCGCAGCACCACCAGGAGCAGGACACCGATGACGGTGACGC